CCGTCGCCTGAAATTCGAAATACCCGGTAGCATATGAGCAAACTGGGCGGGCCAAGGTCATTCATCTCAAAAACGTTACCTTATTCGGCCCATACCCAGTCCACTTCATATACCAATCGGTAGAGAATTTAACGGGCTACCAAATGATATATGAGATAGTCTTAAGAAGTCGTGTCTGGGTAGTCCAAGCTTAGAAATACTCGGTAGCATACGACCACGCCGGCAGGCCAAGGTCATTCATGTCCACAAAGCTGCTTTATCCGGTCGTTAACCACTCCACTTGATATACCAATCGATAGAGAATTTCACCGGCTACAAAATGATATATGACACAGCCTTAAGAAGTTGTGTCGGGGTAAGGCCAAGATTCGAAATACTCACGGAAAGATGTCTTAAAGTGTCCTCTTTCTAATGCTGAAAACCGCACTTCATTATCTATCTCCCGCGAGGAGTTATTCAAAAAGCAACAGACTGCACGACCATTTGGTACGGATAGTAGTATCGATTCTGTGTTAGCGTCAGTCGCAATCAAGGAGCACTGAAAAAGATCTGGAATGTAGATGAGGACTCCTCCTCCGTGCCGATTACGAGCACGTCTGAAAATAGAGTACCCAGGTAGGCAGCATTCTAGATCTGATATGTCTGGTGATAAAAAAGTTTCTTGTAGACATATTATATGAGGTTTAGCAGACAGGATAGTTTGTTGAAGTAGGGTTAAGTTGGCAAGAATACTTTGAATGTTATGATTCAAAACAGGAAAAGAGGAAGAACTAGATAAAGTAGTTTTAGATTGCCAAACAGATGCCAATGGATTAACGTTAGCTGACACAGCCGAAATTTGAGACAAACTGCTAGAAGAGAAGGCGTTAGTAAGAGGGAGATCACACAGAGACAAAGTAGAGCTAGAACTGTCGCTACTGGGTACAACAAGACTAAAGACTATTCTTTAAGTATTCATCCATTGAACTACTTAGTTTGAAAGTATCTGAATCGCTCAAATGATGTCCATCACGAGATATCATATCACGCTTGTCATAATCGATCGGTATCAAATCACCACCCATATTCATGGTTAGAGATGTTAATTCTCTGTTGTATTCTTTTATATCTTCATTTAGAGCTTCGGCTGAGGCTTTCAGGCCACAAATATTCATTGGAGATAGAGTGGTTAAAGCTAATTTCGAATTTGGATAGGAGTTTTTAAATGTTACAATCAAAAGTTTTGTTTTATCAAGGGCATCACTGAGTTTGTCATATTCCAAATTGGTCGTGCTAACACAAACAATGAAGCGAGGTAACGGTTTGAAGTGTTTTTCTTTCATAAATTCAGTCATTCTCTCGATCCCAGCTCCATGTTTCGTATGAACGTGATATCCTCATTTACCCATATATCATTAGAGACGATTATTGAGTTAACATAAACAGATGATCGATGCATTTAAAGTACGATGTATTTCTTCAAGGTCTTCTCGAATGATTTTGAAAAAGAAAAATCTATCGGTGTTCGTTAGAAAGACAATATTGACACTCTCGAATAGAATAGAATGTAGAAAAACAAACAAACAAGAGATCGAGAAATGACTTCGATTTTACTTAAAACTATACACTTTGATTACGAGAAAAATTCAAATAATACTTCTGAATTCTTTCAAATATTTCTTTTATCAAGTCAGTGTATTCTGCATTCATCCTAGTGTTTAATTTAAAAATCACAGAGAGAAAGCAACAAACAGAAAAACACCTGTACTCTTCGAATATATAACGCCTGATTACTACAAAAACGATTATATCATGCACGAAATATGGTACTATTTTCTATCTTTTGTAATTGCTCAGTCACAGTTTTACAGCTCACAAGTGAAATTGACTGATTTCGGTAAAGAATTTCAACCAATATTGTCTGCTGATTTGCTATCAACAACCAATAATACAAAAACGCAGTTAAGATGTGCAATGAATTGTAATCTGAATCCGCAATGTACTACATTTGATTACGATTCAGCGACCCTTCTCATCATCCTCCATGTACGTCTTTAAAAAAGGAGGTTTCTATTTTTATGCTAAATATTTTTGGAAAAATGTTATGAAAAATAAGATGATGTAATCCAAGAAAGTTTACCGCGATGCCATTTAGGAGGAAGCCCCTTCGCTGTCGTTTATTCCGAAATACAGTGGATATGTTGGGGCAAGTAGTATCATCAACCAGCGCAACGTGCATAGTTGGCAGTATCTTGTACACACCAGAACTTTTCTTAGACAGTAATCAATCATGTGAGCGATGTGAAACCAATCGTTACTTAACATGTGACATGACAACATTAACGTGTCAATGTCCACCAAATTTCTATTGGAGCGTCAACATGTGTCAAGGTTATTGATATTCAGTTTGTAGTTTTCCTCTTTTGTCGGTGCTTATACAGCGTAAAGGCTTTTATCAACTGTACGGAAAATTTTTGCCGAACGGAAAACGTTCACATTTCGGTCTAATGAGGCTACACAGAACAACAATAAATATTTCTAACTTTTCTTATCTACAAATATACTAGAGAGAGCGGAGAACACTTTGGTGCAAACCGCTTGTGAAAACCGCCGCCACTGTAACTTGATCTTGAAAGAATGGTACAAAAATGTTGATGCTGACAACAGCTACTACTATAAGACTAAGGAATAAGGACAACAAACAAACTGGATATAGCTACACTACTAAAATGGGACGGTCAAAAAGAGAGTGTAATAAATAACATATTATTCAGTGTTCTGGCTTTTGTTTCCCATTTTTCGTTGTACACATGCTAAATTTTCTACATATTCAGCTCTCCATGGATGTGATAGATTTAATTGTTGAATTGTAGATATAGCCAAGTCGAAATGTTCTTTTGCTTTAGGCTAATCTTTTCTAGCATATTCAACTGCATCTAAATTATTATTAACGACTGAAATCTCTAATAGATAAACTAGTTCTGATTTCATTAGTATAGTGGGAACCTTTTGATAATAATCAACGGCTAGCACATAATTGCCAGTTTGATAAGCAGCATGTCCCGTATTATTTTCCAGTATTGGTGTTGATGTATGATTGGTTGATAAGGCTTTTGTTATTATATCAGTGGTCTTAGACGTATATTTAGAAAAACTTTTGGCGACAGTTTTAGGTCAGCTTGAGCTTACGCACAGTCGTAATATGTGTGTCACTGTCTACTGAAGCAGCTTTTACTGCTTTTTCAGAATAATCGATTGCTATCTGCATGTCACCTCGTTCTCGACGAATAATAACGATGCGATTATAACTAATAGCACATCTAAATGATTTTCAGGTAAATTAACTTCTTCTTCTAACATCTATAATATATTTTAGGGCAAAGTAAAAGTTTAATTTCTCCTATAGGAAAAACTTACCTACACTAGAACAAATGTATCTCTATTTTAGTTTTCTCTTAGAGGAAATTGAAATAAATATTATACAAGTATTATAGGATAGAAAAGAGTGATGAAAAAAGAAAGGAACGCGTAAAAAGCCTATATAAAGAGAGTAACTTTGAGGAGTTAAAGAATTTATACGATTTTCGTACAATTCCACGTTCAAGATGAATACCTTCTACCAAAAACTCGACGCAAGATATGTGTTCAAATGCTTAACGACTTCTGATATATAGTTCTGTAAGAAAATATAATCACCCCGAGGGTGTGATAAAATATATCTGCCTTGTTACTCTAGAAACTGACTCTTTTCTAGCCTATAATACTTGTATAATATTTATTTCAATTTCCCCTAAGAGAATACTAAAATAGTGGTATATTTGTTCTAGTGTAGGAGAATTTAAACTTTTGCTTTGCCCTAGAGGAAATCAAAATAAGCTGTTTTTCTTAATATTAGATCTGAATAAGATTTGATAGCTCTGCTTTCATTCAGCCTTTTGTTTTGTTCTTATGTCTCTACATACGATATTTGTCTCTTAGGAAATCTTCTCGTTTTTAAACTTATCGCCATGCTACTAATGTAGTTCTTTATGTTATAAAGAACGAAAACAAAACTGTCCTGCTATCAGCGCTTGGTGTTTTTCAAACTATTTTATATTAAAAAAAAATAGAAAAGTTTCGTAACTCTATTTTATGTTTTGCCAATTGCTTCTTTTTCACCTTTCTATTTTCATTATAGTTTAATCACATACAATCTACCAGACGTTCTTCTTTTTATTATCTTACCGTTAGTTCTTGACTATGTTACGTTTTCTGTTACAGAAAGCCAGGTACAATGCTTTGCAATAGATAATAAAAAAAGAGAAAGGAAAATTTAACTTGTATAGATAAAAAGTGATTTAGTTAAAGAAAAGACTGGCAGTAGTTTTAATGTGTTTTGGAAAAAGAAAACAAAAAGAAAGAAAGAATGAAGCTACGCTGTGTGCGCTGGAGATTTAGCTCTCTAAGCGTTTGGTCGATTGTATGTGATTAAACTATAATGAAAATAGAAAGGTGAAAAAGAAGCAATTGGCAAAACATGAAATAGAGTTACGAAACTTTTCTATTTTTTTTTGTATAAAAACAGTTTGGAAAGCGGGACAGTGTGTTTTCGTTCTTTATAACATAAAGAACTAATATTTTTTTCGTTTTTTTATTAGTCCATGTTTACTTTCAGCTCTATGGAATATGGTTGGGTATAATGATGACAAAAGTATCTTTCACTCTCCTCTATTTTTTCTAGAAGTTGTGCAATCTTTGACGAAGGGTAAATAACATTGAGAATATTCCACGATTTAACCATCTTGTATATGGAATTTTTTTACACATAAAGAGTTATACCTAACAGACAAACAAATACCCTTTATTGTTTTAGTTCTCCGTAATTTTCTTTTTTACAGTTTTTTCCTCAAAAAACAAGAGTTTCTTTCTTTCTTGCCGATTAATTTATTCATAGCTCATTTTGTGAAGGAATTTTTCTCTCCGATCCAAACTAACTTAAAAAATCTTTAAGATAAGCAGTCGCTATTAAAGAACTCTCAGAATGATTTTGTTACAGGTGTGTCACAATCGTGTTGAAGTTTTGTTAAAGCATCTTCAAGCTAACAAAAACTGATCTGAGAAAAGATGATTGCATCCTAAGTTTTTTCGTACTTGCTCCAGTCTTTTCGAGAAATCTACAGATCCCCTGTTGACTGTGTACAATCGCTAACACTTTACTTTCTTCATAAATAGTCACGAAGAGCATAAGTAAGTAAGAAGTACTTTTTCTTTAAAAAGCATGACGAAAATAACGTTGAATAAGTAAATGACTAAAAGCATAGAACATAGTCAACATTTTCTTGCTTCCAGAGTGATGAACACTTTCACTTCATATTGAGTGATACCTCCTTAGTAATCAACTTTCTAAGATCTGATGAACATCTTCTTAAGATCCGAAAAATTCAAGATTTTATAAGACTTTTCTAAGATCTTATAAAGAAGTGTTATGTTTTTTAATATTCATTGATGGTTGACTAAGAATTTCATTAGCTGATATATTGTAAAAATCCTAAAATTTCATATTTTTCAATTTAAAAAGCAAAAAAAGAAAATTTTAAAAAAAGCTCTGTTGAGGGACTCCGGAATTCGATTCTGAACAACTTTTGTATCAAGAGTTTTGTTTCAAAATGCTTGCTTCGAGCGAAACTAGCCGTAAGGCTTTTTTCAAAATACTTTTAGCTCTAAAATTTCCTCGGG